GGGGCAAGGGGTGACCGCGACACCCGCGCCCCTGGGATGTGGGTACTGCCGGCGGCGGAGAAGGAAGCGTGGCTGAGGTCAGGCAGGGGCTGTGCGCGGTGCTGCTCCTCTGTTTTGTCAAGCAGAGGAACACGGGTTGTTTTCCGGCGGCGGTGGATGACAAGAAGTTTGGGGGTTTTTTTCCCCTAGTTCTTGTCCTTGAAGTAGATGTGCCGGAATAGGTCAGCCGAGAAAACGGGGCTGATTGTGAATTATTAAGTACTTATGTACATACTGGAAGGGGAATGCTGGAAAAATGTTGGAAAGAAGCTCTTAAAGGTTTAATAATAATTAACATGGATAAAATTGAGACTAAAATCTAATGACTTTCGCATCAGCCTGTTGGCGCTAATACAGAGCGACAGGGAATGTGTTGGTAATGAGTAGCATGCGGATTTTTTTATTTCTCTTTGGATACTCTTGGGAGTTTGGAAAGGCATAGAGATGATGGGTTATGTGACACCCTGCATCTCTGGGGTTGTGTGGGGGTGGGGCTGGGCTTGTGTCGCTCAAGAAATTCGGGAGTTTGAGGATAGGGAGGACACATGAGACCAGCGTGCCTTTGGTTTGTTCGGTCCTGAAAGTGGAATATTACTAAGGAAGATTTCTGAAGGATAGCAAAATAAGTCTGATTCAGGAGAGGAAACATAGATGTGAAGTTTGATGATTTCCACACAGAACTGTCTTGGGGCAGTCTGGATTTATGGGCTAAAGTCTGCAGGTGCTCCTGCTGATTCAGACAGTGACATACTGCTGAAATTGCGATAGCAGTGATACCTGTTACTGTGCACGCTGCATGAATCAAGTGGCTGAACTGCCTCCTGATACAATCAGCGCTTTCAGTTTACTCCATCTGTATATGCAGTACAAGTTCCTGTTTATTTCACAGCGTGTGTTTGTATAATCAGTGTTCACATCTTCGGTTCGCGTGCTTTGTCCTGAAGGACAAGCCACAGGGCAGATGGTCAAGGAAATGAATGCGACTTTACTGTGTGATGGGTGCTGGGACACTCTTGATGCACTTGTGTGCGTGGGGATGGTTCCCGTTCACTGCGTGAACCTGTGACCCAAAACAGCGTCCCGGCTGGAATGTGCAGGCGGTGCAGACGCTGCTGCCACCCACGGCTCTTACGGGACATTGCCCTGAGTGCAGTGGAAAGGTTGAGACTACTTTGCTGCCAGGTACCGGCTTCCATGTGCAAGATAAATGAGGAGCTCAGTGTGGGACCCTTAAAGCAGATTGAGTGAGTGTGTTTTTTTTTAATTGATAGACTGCTTTGACTGTTTTGCTGTAGATGATAATGATAAAATCTGGATTAGACTCATAACCAGGAAGAATGCTGTGGGAGTTGATGTTTTTCCTGTAGAAGATGCAGGTTAGGGAATGGGGCTCTCAATTTCAGTATGAAACTTTTTTTATTTATCTTTTTTACTAAAGGATATATATTCTCTAAAAACAGGGGTGTATAAATAGTTTGACCAGCTTTGCATACAGACTTTGGTTGCTTAGGGGCAGATGCAATCTTTAATTCATTAGCTGCAGTGCTCAAGTTATTGCTGGTTTGGATCTATGCCTGAAAATGATTGAGATGCACTTGAAATTCAGATTCTGTGATTGTACTGCACTAGAAAGGGCAACATATGACTGTATTTATCAAATCATGTCGTATAATACAAAGCAACTTCCTCTTTTTTTCTCTCACTCCTTCCCCACCTACAAGAGGAAATATAAAGATCCTGTAACATCTCAATTTCTGTTAGTGCAGTAGGGGAAAGTACAGTCAATGTTTGGAGTTTTTGCATAATGATTACTAAATCTGAACTTGCAGAAAGTATTTAGATAGTTGGTTTTTAACAGTAAATCAAAACACAGCACTGTCACATCTCAGCAATCATACCATGAAAGTTAGCACTGTTTGTTGAATGTTCTAACGGGATATAGCCAGATGCTAATAGATGATCTTTATACTTAGTAATTTTATTGTTTGATGAGGTCAGTATTTTGGGAAACTCATTGTCCTCTGGAAAGAAGACCTTAAACAAAAAATAATATCTTAGTCATAACAAATAGAAAAATATTTGCATTTCAAGAGACAGATGTTGAGAACTCTATAGTAGAATAACACAATTTTACATCTAAAAAAAATATTAACTTATGTTAAGTATTAAAAATATTTTAGCTCCAAAGAGAAGCAAAATTGTGAAAAGACTGATATCAAATCTCTTTGTTTATAAGTCATAAATCACCTATAAGAATTACATTATTTTTTTCAGAATGATTTGCTTTTGTGGAAGCTTTTCTGTGCTCCATGACTGGGACAAGTTCTTTTCAGTCATGCAAAGTAGGTGAGACTGGACAGGCTCAGCTTTCTTTCCCTGTAAGTTACTGATCCTGCATGTGTGTGAGCATCTGCTGCATTATTATGTGGGTATTTTATGCAGTTCATTTAAGTTCTAATAAATGAGATCACAGTTTAAGGTTTAAATTCTGGGGAATTTATATTAGGCTCTGCTGCACCAGAATAAAGATTCCTATCTTCTTCAGACTGTATATGAAATTAGAATCTAAATAAACATAATAATCAAGTGAGATATCCAGTAAAGTCTTTTATCTAGAAGTCTTTAGTACTCACATTACACTGAGTTACCAGTGGCTGCTATGCAGTTTTGAGATGCAGCTTTCTGGACTGCCTTTAACACTGTTCTTATAGATCTTCCTCAATTAGTCTGTGTTCTTAAACAAAGTAGTTACTGTCTTTGAAAGACTGAAGCTTTCTGAAAACGGACTTATAGTAGCAAAACCTTAATGGTACTTCACAGTTGCTTTTTTTATCTGTGGTCATTCTGCATCAGGGTAGTCTGGTGGCTTTGTAGCTAGGATGAACAGAGAGATATAAAGAGTGCTATATTTGCAAACAGAAAAAAATGTTCTTGGGGCTTCCAGATTGGAAAGAAAGAATCTGTATTTTTAGACCAAATTGTGTTTTTTTAATGTGCCCACCTTAATTTGACTCCTGAGTATCATGAGTGGACTCATCCAGTATTACATACATGACAGCTGTAAAGCTGCCTTTTGATTGCTTTGAAAGAATGCGAAACAGCTAAAGGATTTTCACAACATGCGAAGAGCATGTTTTCATGCCATGGTAATTGAAACAACAGCTGAAACAGATTTCACCGCCAGAAATATCTCTCTCTCAAATAAGATCATGCAGGGAGAGCCTAATTCTCCTACGCATTGACCCTGATTGTCATCTTTCACCATTGTTACAAATAGATATATAACCCTCTGTGGTGCAAATGATGTCACTGTGCAGCCAGCCCAGGCAGGGCACAGCAACATAGCAGCTATGCTATAGCTACAGTGTTAAGTGCTGAAGTGAAAAGTGGAGGAAAAGTGGGCCCAAAGTCCCTAAGTGATTAAGTTCTCTAAGCATAAGAACAGAAAATTCAGCATGAAAGCACTTCAGTCTTGACCCTGCTCTTACAAGTGTCTAAGATAACTAAACAAACTGTGTCTGCTCTGCAGCTTCTGTGTAATGGATATTCTACATCCTCCATTTACACTGGTGGCAGCTGCCATGCCTGCCTTGATAAATGGAAGTGTTGGCTAGAAATTACAGTGCTTCTGCTTCATTCATAAGAGAGGGGTAAAATGAAGGAAGTGGGTGAGTAGGTTTAGAGATAGTAACCCCTTTGTGTTGGTGCCTTTCACGAGCCTTACTCAGGTCTGTAAATGACTACTGTACCATTTAACTTTTTCTTGTTGCTATATCATGTTTTCCTCTTTTCATTATAAGTAACCAAAAAAAAGAAAAGGAGAACAGAATAAGGTAGTGGATCACAGAGGAGCTCTTGGGCTCTTTTGTTCCTCTTTTGTACCCTATTGTTTTAAAGCTGTTATGTTATTGCTTTCCTAACTGACATAATTTTGTGTGAGAGAAAAATATGTATGCAGCAGCACTACTGATGTGCATAAAAAAATAGTCCTGACAGGTTTTGGCTTTTGTCCAAGTCAGTTGCAGACTTTTTTATATGCTAAAGAAGAAAATAAATAACACTGTATCTGTTCAAAATCTATAGATCTGCTGTGTTAGGTGAGTAGACACATAAAGAAAATCATGAGGCACATAAAAGCCAAGCTTACATATCAGGAAAACAGACTGGGGTTTTAGCAACTCGTTTTCAGAGGGAATGTTTGCTCCTCTTGGGGATATGTAAATCACTGCAAAAATATCTGTCAAATCCTGCCCTGGATTTGGACAGAAAGTTGCTTTTATTGGTCAGTTGTGTGAGTGTGAACAGCTTAACACACGTTAGTGATGTTACTTCTGTTGCTGCAGATCATGTTTCCTGGAGTATTTTCAGAATTAAACCCTAAAGAACTGATCTCACTTCTATTGAAAATAAAGGAAAATTTGGCATTAAAAAAAATAAAATATGTATTAGCCCCTAGATTAGTAAATTGGCAGAGGGGGTGGAGACTATCCCTGTAATGTACTGTGTGAATGATAGATGCGGGGCCTAACAGGGCATTTAATGCAGAATGAAAGCCTTTTTTTAGCCTTAAAATGACTAAGTAGCAAGGAAATTATGCAAAAGCGGATTGTACAAAATATCCTTGGATCAAGTGATCATGAGTTTACATTGATTTAACAGTGGGATAAATGATGCAGTCCCATGTGGGCTACTTGGGCTGCTCTGAACAGACTGAACCAAGAGCTGCAAAGGCCTGGAGTAGGTGCAAAATGGATATGCTGTGGTTTCTCTGCTCCTTTCCTCTGCCCACACCTGCTTGTTTTTCTCCAACACTTCAATCTTTTATCCAATCCATCATCTGGGGCTTTGTACATCTGCATTAATACTCACCAGTTCAAGTTAGGATATACACCCTGATATCTCCTAGAATCACATTTTCTGAGCTTTTTCAGAGCTGGATCAACCTAGCCTTGCATTTCTCTGTTTTTCTCAGTACTAGTAGCACGTGCTGAACCTTTAGTATCATCATGCAGAGTTACTTACTTTTGCTCCATGTGCAGTGTTTCTTTCCCCCGGGCAGACAGCTCTACCTTTTAAATAAAGTGCCTTTTTTTGTCTTGCCTTGCATCAAAAGCAGGCAACAGTGCAGTGAATGATGACAAGGGCAAAGAAAGTGGAGAGTGGGAATGGAGGGACTGGTAAACCTCTAGGAAAGGGAAGAAATATTCACAAAGTGAAATAAAGAAAGAGGATGGGCCAAATCCAGACTAGTTTATGTGAAAGCTGAAGTCCAAAGACAGCATAAAACTTGACACCAGAATTCATGGATAGAAGAGAATCCTCATCTTTAACCTGCTTGGTCTGATGGTAGCAGATACTGATTGCTCTGCAAGTATACTTGGGAGCTGTTCAAAGAAAACCACTTTTCTCCTTTGTGCCTAGGTACAAATGCAAAATTTTCTATTGCCGTTTAATCCCTAGAATCATTTTTCTTCTTCATCAGGCAGCAAAGTTAGTTGAGTATTTTTGAATCCCTGATGTTCATCGCTTGTGCCATATGTACAGGTAGGTATCAATCACAATTTCCTTTCTAAATATAATGCCTTTCCCAAGGAATTACAAATGAAGACCTTTAATAAGTCAAAGGGCTGAAATTTCAATTTAGTAAATTAATATTTTTTCTCAGCACTTTGTTTTATTAACAATTCAGAACCAGGCTTACAAATCAAAACATCTTTTGTCAGGATTTTTTTTGTTGTTGCAATTACAAATGACTGCAATTTGTTGTTCATTGTACAAAGTAGAATCATTGTCCTGAGTAAACGGATGTAAGATTGGAGCTAAATACTTTGTGCACTGCCTTCAAAACAGCTAACAAATTTCTGTACAAGAAAGCATATTTACACCTTTATGCACATAGGAAGTTTGATATCAGCTTTTTCACTTAAGGGAGAATAAGAACATATTGCATATTATTTTTTCAGAGCAATGAATTAGTTAAAATACCAAAAATGCAATTTTTATAGTAGCGTAGAAAGACCTTCTTAATAACATAGGGGTTTATAGTTATGTACTTTTAAGTATGGAAGCCTTACCCTGGTGTAAACATCTGAGATGAAGCTATGAATCATGTCACTGAAATGGGACAGCAGCTTCAACAGGATTGACAGAAAAGGGCATGAAAGTGAGAATAAATGTTCAGAAGTTATAGTTTAATTTGTTAGGCCATTAGGGCTAACATTTTTACCACTGTAATAGAAATTAA